GAGAGAGTGTAATGTGGTTGAATGGCAATTCAAACCCTGCTCTCCCAAAATCCTGATTCAAGCCACCTCTCCACACCGGCACCACCTTCATCCAATCAAATATCAAGAAGATAACCTGTCAATATGGAGCACAATCCTACCCACACTTAAATATGTTTAAGTCTCAATTATTTTAATGGTGAAATGTAAGCACTGAGCATGTGATTCAATCTTTCTTGTAAAAATTAATGGGACTCAGTCGGCTTATGTCACCTAGCAAATGCCAACTGTATATTTTAAGATTCTAATATTTCTGCAAATCATACTGTTAGAACGCTCAACAAAAACAGGAAAAGCCTACAAGAGGATACCAATATAATTCATAACAAATTTCAAGTTCGCTACAGGGTGCACAAGGACACTGAACTGTGGAAGAGATGTCTTTCTAAACAACAATAGAATAAATCAACATGGATAAAACATGGATAGGATAAAAGTCAACATGGGTTTCTCAAAAACAAATCATGCCAGATTAATCTGATCTCTTTTTTTGATAAAATTACCAGCTTGCTAGACGAAGGGAATGCGGTAGGCATAGCATATCTTGATTTCAGTAAGGCTTTCCTCATGATATTCTTGCAAACAAGATAGTAAAATGTGGGCTAGACAATAGAACTGTTAGGTGGATTAGTAACTGGTTGACTGACCAAACCCAAAGGGTGCTCAGCAATGGCTCCTCTTTATCCTGGAGAGAAGTGACCAGTGGGGTGCCACAGGGTTTGGACCTGGGCCCAGTGCTATTCAACATCTTTATCAATGATTTGGATGAAGGAATAGGGGGCATGCTTCTCAAATTTGCAGATGACACCAAATTAGGAGGAATAGCTAATACCCCAGAAGGCAGGATGAAAATTCAGTTTGACCTTAATAGATTAGATAGCTGGGCCAAAGCTAACAAAATGAATTACAACATGGAGAAATCTAAGGTACTGCGCTTAGGGGAAAAAAATGAAATGCATAGATATAAGATGGGGGATACCTGGCTTAATGAGAGTATGTGTGAATAGGATCTAGGAGTCCTAGTAGACCACAAGTTGAACATAAGTCAACAGTGTGATGCCACAACTAAAAAGGCCAATGCAATTTAATAGAAGTATAGTATCTGGATCAGGGGAAGTAATAGTGCCACTGTATTCTGTGTTGGTCAGGCCCCACCTGGAATACTGTGTCCAATTCTGGGCATCACAATTCAAAAAGGATGTTGAAAAACTGGAGCGTGTCCAGAAGAGGGTGACTAAAATGGTGAAGGGTCTGGAAACCATGCCCTATGAGGAACCACTTAGGGAACTGGGTATGTTTTGCCTGGAGAAAAGACAGTAAAGAGGAGATATGATAGACCTCTTTAAATATTTGAAGGGATGTCATATTGAGGAGGGTGCTAGCTTGTTTTCTGCTGCTCCAGAGAATAGGACTCGGAACAACGGATACAAGCTACAGGAACAACCTCAACTTTAGGAGGAACTTCCTGACAGTGAGAACTTTGATTTTGACTTCCTGGATGGCAGGGGGATTGGACTGGATGGCCCTTGTGGTCTCTTCCAACTCTATGAGTCTATGAAATATAAGTAAGATGGTGGACATTTAGTTTTGTATTTGTTGTGTGCACCTTCAAGTTGTTTCAAACATATGGCAACCCTAAGGAAACACACAAAAGGCATACTCATATTTATAGATAATTAATACGGGGGGGGGGGGGGGGGGGGGGGGGGAGAGAACAAGAATTCCTTCTATTCATCAGCACATTGCCACCAGTAGAGTTTGTAGTATACACAAAGTTCTATTTAAACCAAAGCATAAAATGATGTCTTGCTTAAATATGCCTCTTTTCTTTCCTATAAATAACTTCTTTTTCCTATAAACAATGAACTAGGAGCCCAAAAGCATGCAGGTAATTGCACCACTAATGAGTGTCCTATATGACTGATGTTTGCACCAACATCTAGAATAATCTTCCTTAATTCCTCTTAACAGGACAAAATTTTCTGGAGACTCTGGATTATTCAAACCAGTCCTCAACAGCTAGAAATGTTAGTAATAATAATAATAATAATTTTTATTTAATACCCCGCCCCTCTGAGCACAATCGGGGCGGCTTACATGATAAAATTCAACAGCAGTTAAGAACAAGTACCTCCCCCTCCCCCCTTAAAAATGTAATTAAACTCAGTACAATTTAAAAAGTATAAGGAGGAAAATTCCTCCATTAAAACAACAGTAGATAACATACATAAAACAAAATGCCAGCGGAATCGCGTGCAGGCTCATTTAGAACTTCATTCCTGAAGAGGGAAGCATCTCGGGGGGAAGAGGACTCTGGAGCCAAACTGATAAGTTAGTTCTTTTGATTGCATGTTTAAAATGCATTTTTGTTTATATTTATATGGTATTCTTGTTCTGAGAAGCTGAGAGCAATACATATGACTTTCCTAGGCCCGTTTTAATCTAACTATTCTTGCATACATAGGTTGGACCAATCATTATCCTCAGTCTCAATTCATCCAGTGAGATTAATGGCTTGTACTGCAGCATTATATATTTCCTGTTGTGTGTCTTCAAATCATTTTTGACTTATGGTGACCCCAAGATGAACCTATCACAGAGTTTTCTTGGCAAGATTTGTTCAGAGGAGGTCTGCCTTTGCCTTCCTCTGAGGCTGAGAAAGTGTAACTTGCCCAGGGTCACCCAATGGGTCTTCATAGCTGAGCAGGGTTTGAACCCTGATTTCCAGTCACAGTCCAATGCTCAAAACACTACACCATGTTATCCCTAAGGCATACACACACACACACAGAGAGAGAGAGAGAGAGAGAGAGAGAGAGAGAGAGATTATTGCCTTTTATGTTCAGTGGTGTTTACTGCTCAGTATGGAGTATTTAGGACTGTACCTCTAACAGCAAAGTGGCCCTAAGACATTTTGCTGCCTGAGGCAGAACAGGAAATACCACTGGCCCCTCCCTCATCTTAGATGCATATTACTCATGCCCATGTGAAATAATTTTGTCATCCGAGACAGAAAATCCAACATACTTCTCTCCAGCCCATCTAGTAAAAAGCAAAAAAGATATCAAAGTAAGTAACTATGAATTTGATGCCCTTTCATGACACTTCAAATCTTCAAACTGAGGCAGTCACTGCCCGTTGGTGTTTAATGACTCCTGTACAAATCCAATTATATATTCACATAACACCCATTTCCTTATTCTCAAATGTTAGATTATTGTTTAACTAGTAC